AAAAAAGGTGCTAAAAAGGTCATTTTTTTGGTCCCTCTACTTTGAAATTTCAATAATCTAGTATGTCATGTGTATAAAAATAATAAAAGGACTAAGAAAAGATCAAATTTTAAATTTTAGAGACTAAAAGAGACTTTCTTAAGTAAATAGACTAAAAAGAGATTTTTAATTAAAGTAGAGAACCAACATAGGGTTTTAACATTTCTTGAATCTTCCCCATTTGACTTAAGGTTTGAACAAAATCTCTAACATAAAATCTCAGGTTAATTGAGCCATCCCTTAGGGGTTGAATGCACTAAGCTAACATGGGAGGTGCACCTTTAAAATTGCTCAAAGAAGAATTAATCTCAGTATTTGAAAACAAGCTTGAAAACACCTTGATTGTAAGTACAAATAAAGAAATAAATGTACGAGGAATTAGGACTTAAAATTGTGACAATTGATGCAAATATCTATTTTGTTTATCACACAAGATAAAAGAAATCTTGAGCGATCAACTAAAGTATAGATAAAAAGTTTCTTATCCTACAAGAATACAATGAAATGCAACCCAATAAATAAAAGATAAAAACGTAGTACCAAAAAATAAACAAAAAGAATCATGACAGCTTGCTTGCTCATGGATAAGGGTTCCAACCTCCAAGTCCAACATCCTCAATGATCCTATCCTATTAACTACTCTTAAAAAGTAACATGAGGAGAATCAGTCCCACTTCATGCTTAAAAATTCCTCACAAAGACCTATAATTTGGAATATACTAATAACAAAATTTTAAAGTATCACCATGTATAGCTTAATTTAAGGTTTGTAGAGTTAACCAATACTGAAATGAATTGTTTGTCTTTGACAAAACTAGTAAAGCAAACTCAATATAATGTAGAAAACTGACTTATAATACTACTTGACAACTACTAAAAAATTATGTATAGCTTATACTAATTGTTTCATACAACTAATGAGCTATTAATCCAATTATTAAAAACCATGCTTTCAATAGGATTCAAATGTGAAGGCCTAAAACAAAAACAAAGGATTCGAATGTGCAATTTAACCACCGAATGGTAAGAAAGAAGCAATTGCACATGCTAGAACTTTGATCCATACGTTGGCATGGACAGTGGACTATCTAGAAACAGAAATAGTTGCTCTTAGGATTTGCCCTCTCATTGCTTGGACAGATTACTCCATTTTTGTGGTTGTCAAATATAAATCAACTTGCCTGGTTAATGGCCAAAAAAAAAAAAAAAAAAAAACTTGCCGCGAAAAGGGACATCTCCACATGGACCAAGAAGAAACTAGATAAATGAAATCCTTACATGAAATGCTTAATCCACATGTGTAGACCCAGACCCCACACCACATCCCAACCGATGGAAAAGGCCCCATCAAGGATGAATGACACGACTATCAAATGGGGTGATCACCATCACAGGAGTTGGAATTGAACCTAACCATGTTTGAGGAAGGACAGACAAAACTCCATTGTATTTAGTAAAGTGAATTTTACATTTCTGAATTGGTAATGGATTTGTACACAGATTAAAACATAGCATTATATGTTGGGTTGGCAAAAAAAAAAAAAAAAGCACTAGGAAATGTTGGGTGTCAGTGCACATCTAGAAATGCTTTGCCCCCATTAAGAGAAGAAGGATGAGGAAAATGGAAAGGACAAAAAGCAAAAAAAGAAAGAACCAAGAAGAGGCTGACATTTTCTTTTTTTGTAAAAGGGAGAAAAGAGGACCAATGTATACACTCATTCTTATGTATTGCTGTTGTTATCAAAAGGAAAATAATATTGTCATTGACAGGAAAGGAGCAAAGTTAATTTCAAAAGCATCCTCATTTCACAAAAGTGCCGTGAAAACTGCTGCTTTTGCTCTTGCTCTTTGGAATCAATGCCATACAATCAGACCAAGAATACCATCAACTCAAAATAGATGAACCCCAACATGAAAATTGAATTCACGTCTTACAATCAACTAAAAACCTATCTACTCATGTGATACAAGTGCAATTAAGTTAGAGCCGATAATAAATTTGTGGAAATAAAGGTTTTTCAATGAATCAGAAAATTTTCCTTCTATTTAATGGATGAATGAATAGAGTACACAACTTAAGAGGTCTTTCTTAAGGCAGAAAGCAGTCGATTTTGGCCTATGCATGTAATGATATACAGTATGTTTTCAATTTTCCCTTTTTTTTTACAAGCATGTATTTTACATTTTAAGGACCAACTCTAGTTGCAAATTGGCCTACACCATGCACGGGGTAAATAAGCCATCACATTAGTAAAACCTTTACCTATTTTGATGGGATGATTTGTTATCATTGAAGATCAATGATGTCAAACTTCAGATTGGGATTCATATACACATCCGTACAGGACTTGTAAATGGGGCTCCCATCTGGAGGTTGATCATGTGAGTGAAAGCCATGTAGATGGTAGTTTCTTACAACTGACATGCCTTAAGGGCTTGTCAACTGAAAATTGCCATGCTTTCTGAATGAAAGAGAAAAAATAAAAGCTATACCAGCTAATAACTTGGTAAAAATTGATTATAGGATAAGGCTGTAAAGGTCAGTAATTCTAATTGTAGCAATAAAGAAAATTAGAAAAAATAGCAAAAATTTAAAATTCATTATGATGTCTCATCTTGAGGCATCCTTTGGTGCCATGGCTATTGCCACAGATTTGGGCAACATAATCTGAAAGAAAAACAGAGAGGCATTTGAATGAGACTCTAAAGAGCTATTAGAAACATACACGTTTACAAATGGGATGTTCTACATGAATATGCTCATACAAAAGTTAGAATTGGTTACAAAGGAAAATGCTTTTTGGGGATGGGCTGTAGTGGATCCAAAGTCAATAAAAGTGAGTACAATTGTACAATAGAAGAATCCACTTTCTATTTTTCTTGTTTTAGATGTGAATCATGGGAACTTGTCCTATAACCCTGTCCCACTTGTTATGAGTCCATTTGACAAGAGGCAAAAGTGGTGATGAAGAAATGAATATAACGTGCAACAGTAATCATATAATACAAGGAAATAAACCAAGAGGGTTAGAATCAAAATTTGCCCAGTTTTTTCTTTATCAAAAAAGTGTATGAGAGCAAGAGGAAACTTGAGAGTTGAGGACATTTAGAAACCCAAAGAATATAAGGACAATTTTTTGTTAGTTTATTGCACTCAACATGTGGCAAGCTTTGATGATTTTGTGCCTTTGGTTTCTTGTGCCAAACAATGTTTAGCAACCACCAGACTAACAAAGAAAAATACATTATTGAAATGAATTTCCAGTACAGCATGCCATCAGCCATTTATATATATCAAATAACTAATAACATAAAAAAGTTAAACTATGATAATAATAGGAAAAGGCACACACTTGATATGAGTAATGAGTGTGAATATCAATTGATGACATGAAACATCAAGCAGATAACTTGGTTAAAAGTGAATAAGGCTTGGAGTTAAGGATATGTTTTATTATTACTACTTCCTCTCTCCCCTAACATTAGCAAAAAACACTGAGATGCAATGCGAAATCAAAAAAGATAATTATAAGAACTAGTATTTCAAAACCAAAACATGACTTCCTGTTCCAACTAATTTTTTCACCAATCCCACCTTAAAATCAACCCTTAGATTTGTGTTTTTAGTGACTTAATGTGGATGGAAGAAATCAAGAAATCCGATTGATTTGAAATTTGGCAAACATGTATAAGTTAAACTTATTGATTCTCATCACTTCCGTGCGATCATTCTTCCACCCCTAAAAAGGGGATTTAATATAGGTGAATGCCTTGATTTAGTGGCTTTCCACAAATGTGGACATGTTGGCTTGGATTTAATAACATATAATTTTCACCACACGAACCATTCATTTCACAATTATAGTTTCTAAACTTTAGTTTTCCTTGAAAATTAAAAATTATATGGAAATATTCATTGGCATATGCAGAAAATTACCAATGTCTGTTTTAGAGTTGCCATAAGTTTTAAATAGAAATTCAGGACAGCCATATAAGCTAAAGACTTTTAAGGAAGAGTCAAGACCTTCAGAATTTCAATCATACATATTGCCTTCTCTAATTCAACAAATCAATAAGCATACACAAGTAGGGAAATAAAAAGGCAGAATGATGAGGCATATAACCTTCATAAGCCTATTCAAGGAACTTTGAAACAACATCCAGTTAAAGAAACTAGAATTTAGAATACTAAGAGCCTAACAACAAAATGAACAACTATACTTCATTATCATAACTTTTCATGATATGGTCAAATCAAACAAGAGGACATAAATGGGGAGCTTCTTAATTTACAAGAAAATATAAGCATAAAAAAAAAATTATGCATAATTACAAGCCTCTTTGTTGCACACCAGTGAGAAAGATATTTTCAATTCACAACTTGTGAAAAATAAAATACAAGTTGAACAGACTTAAAATACTTACATGAATCCACCCAAGGGGAAAAAGGGATTTCTTATCCTGTTCTTCAAATGTTTCCTCTTCATTTGTTGTTGACATTGTTCAAAAAATAGAGATTTAGGATTATAGTTAAAGAAATCAAGTTATCCAAAAAGAAAAGGTAAGATTTTTACTTTATGAAACAAATTTAAAATAAAAATATGATTGATCTGCAATGATACTATCATACCGAGTTTGATGTTGATTCTTGCTTGGGAATAATCAACACTGTAACATAGAATTTTCTGTTTTTCTGAAATTAGTAGTTAAATCCTAACTATTAGACATACACTCTAAGTGCTAAGGTTTTTTGATGAATATCTAAGTAATAAGTTATTGCCACATACAAGGGAACCAGTAAGGATGCCACATGTTTCTAGATTTTTATCAGTATTTGATTTAGCAAGCTTCATGAAGTTCCCCATCATTGTAGTTGACTGCAATAGAAGAAAATGTTTGATCAGGTCTTGTAACGTAACCAACTTTAACTAATGAAGAAATATTAAAATTTTATAACTACAGTTAAGATTTTGAAATTCTGCAACCAGTAGAAATTAATTATGCAATCTAGAATATAATGAAAACCAAAGAGTGGTAGAAACGCACAATGTGCAACTCTAGAGGAGATTTAGAATTAGCAAAATTGTTTGCGGACAAATTTTCTATTCTACACTCCGCCTTGGTGACTTCAGCTGACATTACAAGAACCAAATCTTGCACCTCGAAAAGTACAGGGTGAGGAGAAGGTTGTCTGGTAATATTGATCTGAACTGGGGTTTCTGATTCTTCAAAAGAAATCATTGGATGAAGTTCCTCAACATGGCATTTCTTACCACTCTCACTATTATCATTCAAATTAACAACTAATTCAGCACTTGATACTTCGAGTTTTGAGTTGCAATAGTCATTCTTCATCGAAAGACCATTTTCTAAAGACTTCTGCAGGCTATTTTACATGGAGGAAACTTTGAAAAAAGCATATTTATAAGCATAAACTTCTCTAAACAAAAATAATAGCATTAAACATGAGGACTCATTACCAAGTTTGTATTTAACTTAGGTTCAAACATCTCATGTTGCTTAATAATCACCTAATGCCTCCTAAAATAATCTTTTAACTTGTTTACTCTAACATAGACTAGATGTAATTTAGGATGAAAAGAAAATAGTGAAGAAACTTCAAGAACCAATTAGGGCTGACCTTAGAATGTCAACCAGAGTCAAGTCTATGTTACTTGGATATTGCACCTGCACTAATAAAGGAAAATCAGCATGGATTCTGTGAAGGATGAGAGAAAGAACAAGTTTCTATCATACCCTTATATCACTCTTGGGTGGCTCCCATTGGCCATGAAGCCCATTTGGACCCAAAATAGAATGTTTAGATAGATTTTGCTCCTTTGGACAGGGAAAGTTTAGCATCCTAAAAGCAGCAAGGCAAACAAGTGATTAATAAAAGAACAATCAAGTAGGTTGAAAAATGTCATCACTCATTAATTAATAACTCAATTCAATCCAGCTGTCCATTCTCACATGCAGTGAACTAAAAAAATATAAAACCTAATGCTAGGAACAATAATAGTTAACAAGCAAGCATATGAAAGTGTCTCAAGCATATGAAAGTGTCTCAAGCATATTGAGCATCAATTGATATAATGGAACAAAATTTTACAATGAAAAGAAAATACAATTCATAAGATTCTATAAACCAGAATAAAGAACTAGTAATGCATGCATGTATTGAAAAAATAGTTCACATTCACAGAAAAAAGTTGGTCAAATATTAAGCAAAAATTAGCCACTATAATAATTAACCACCAAATATCTAGCCATGATTATTTATTTGGGTAATGAAATTCTTTAAGTTGATGATATGACACCCTAAATTTAATGCAAACACTTACATTCTTTGGAATTGCTCCTTAACTGGCCTAGAATGAGAAAACTGTTGAGTCCTTGAACTATAATAACCATGTACATGTGAAGTTGGTCCAATAGCCTATTAGATGAATAACATAATTAATTTAAATAAGCATGGTCTACAAGAGTGAAAAAAAAATCACATAAACAAGTGTGGCCATAAAAGACTTTTAACTAACTGCCTTGTAACTAAAGAGTCGTCAAAAGCTATTAGCTCAGATTACCAGTGGAGAACCTAAAAAGAACTAAGAAGCATTAACTGTACCTTTGTCATATTATGGTTTGTCAAAGTTGAGTTTTTCATAGTAGGCCATTCTAAAGAATTATTTTGATAACTTTGTAATGCGTTCAACTCATTGATCTTTTGTTGCACTGCAGGCTTTAACTCCTTTAGCTCATTCATTGCATTCAACAATCTTTAAAACAAGAATTTGAGATGAAACCGCATTTGAGACCTTGAAAGGAAAAGAAGGAATATGCACACAAAAATACAGCAAGCAATATTGGCCAAAGCCCCTATTTGCACCCTCCATTTATTTTTTTTCCACAGTCAACACCTTCTAAAATTTTTCCTCTCTATTCACACCCTCCACTTTTCAAAACCCGTGAAAAACCCAATATTTTAACGGACCGTCACGGCACCGTTAATAACCGTTAAAAATTGTAATACGTGGCATCAAACAGTAAAATAATCCAATGTGGACTTTCTTTTTTGATGATATGGCATAATTAAATCATAATTAATTTTAATTTTTTCATTTTCTTCTTTCCGGCATCATCTTTACCATCTTCCTCTTCATCTTCTTGGGTTCCTCATGGACCCAAGAACCAAGAACCAAGAACCCAGAACTTTATGTCACATTTATTAATCTACTGTTGGACTTTTTTTTATAATGTGTTATAATTAAATCGTTATTAATTTTAATTTCTTTATTTTCTTCTTTCTCGGCATCATCTTCACCATCCTCGTCCTCATCCCCCTGGGTTCCTCGCAAAACCCAGGTTCTGTGTTCTTCGTGGAACCTAATTTCACAATTCACCTACCAAGCTAAGATTTTCATCCACACAATTATAAGTAAATGAATACCGCACAAAAACATGATAAGCATCTTTTACTCTCCCACAAAAAACAAAAAAAAACTCAAATTGGCAACATATTCAGAAACAATATCCAAGCAAAAAAACTCACTTTTTCAACAAAAAAAATTATTTCAAATTGCTTTGCATAAAATCGGAAGATAAGATAAATACATTCAAAATCAAAAAATCAAAAAAAAAAAAAGTTGGAACTGGGTTCCACGCGAGGAACCCAGATCTGGGTTCCTCGTGTGGAACCCAGTTCGGGTTCCTCGCGCAGGAACCCGAACTAGGTTCCCCACGAGGAACCCATTGAGAAGAGGATGGTGAAGATGGAGGACGGTGAAGATGATGCCGAGGATGAGGGGGGAAAGAAAAAAAAATGTCATTTATGTAATGTTTGGTAATATTACAATTTTTTATTATTTTCACCGTATACGTGGCGTCTACGTCGGTAAAAAAAAAAACCACGTCATAAAAAAAAAGATCCACGTTGGATTACTAACGTTATATAGTGCCACGTCCATTTTTGGGTGCCACGTAATATATTTTTTAACGGTGCCGTGACAGCCCGTTAAAATATTGGGTTTTTCACGGGTTTTGAAAAGTGGAGGGTGTGAATAGGGAGGAAAAATTTTAGAAGGTGTTGACTGCGGAAAAAAATAAATGGAGGGTGCAAATAGGGGCTTTGGCCAGCAATATTACCTTTTTTAAGCAGACCTTTTTGCTCTGTCTGGTTAATCCATAATCTCGATGGCATGGTATTGTTTCAGAAACCAGACTGAAAGTGGAGGAAAGGGAAGTAGCTTGAGATGCATATTAGGGATAAAAACCAGAAATGATTGCACTAAATCTTCAGATAATTAAGTCTCATTCTATTACCTTGAAAACCTTAGAAGCATAACGTACAGATCAATTATGTTCTTTTCTTCTCAGAAAATGTCAACCTATAGCACTAGGTAAAATATCAAGAGGCAATTAATAAAGATGAGGAAATTAAAGACACAAGCTAACACATTAGGAACTGCTACTAAGAGAGAGTAGTTGAATAATTAGCATATTTGATCTAATACCATTAAACTTATCACCATTAAACAAGATGCATCATTTTTAGTTATGCACCCTAACCAACATAGGTAATCCAAATTCATCCCAATAACACTTGAGCAACAAAAATTATCCCAGTTAATCCATTCACATCAATTTTACTCCATGAAGCAACAAGCATCTAGCTAAACTACCCATCGAATGGTATACCTTACCATACTATAACTAAACTTTAGCTTCAAATGGAAATTGCAGCATTGAACTGCTAATAGAATCCAAAATTTCCAAATTTGCAATAGAATATATCAAAGTTAAGAAATGATAAGTTGCAGTAAAGTTAAGGAAATCTCATATATCATCACAAATAAGGAAAGAAAGAGTGGAAAATAAACTAAATATTGAGAAATTACAACCAATTCGAAAGGGAAAATGAACAAAATTAAGAGAGAGAAAGAGACGTATCTGAGAATATTCTCAGCGATCCGGTAGTAGTACTGGAGAGTAATCTGATTATCCACATCTAGCCTCTGAGCACTCGCGATGATGTTGATTCTCCGAAAAGAAGACCTCATATCTCTTTCCAAAGAAATTTTCCCTTCTTGATTCTTTTACATCAGGTAAAGAGCATGAATCAGCTCGTTGACTTCATTCCAATCGAAGAATCAAGTCACCGGGGTCGAGTACTCCGAAACAGGTCGACAATGGCAACTTGAGTTTGAGGTTCTATGAAGAGGAGGGAGATGATGGAAATGAATTGAAGTCATTTTGGGCTTGTCTGGGGGGCAAAAATGGAAATAGAAAATTTGCAATTTAAGGGAAGATATATTCGTAGTTGTTTTTTCTTTTCTTAATCCTCTTCCCACCCATATGGAGTGTAAATTTAAGATCTTCAAAATAGTGTCTCAAGTATTGAACTAACATAGAACTGAACTTTGTTGTGTTTGCCTACATAATTTTTAGTCTTTCTTGTTGAGCCAGAATAACAGAAGAATTTTATTTTATATATATATATATATATTTGTTTTTGGCCTTCAAAAATTGGTGTGTTAAAGGTGCAATATGTAAATTAACTTAAATTTCTCAATATTTGCAAATATATATATATATATATATTTGTTTTTGGCCTTCAAAAATTGGTGTGTTAAAGGTGCAATATGTAAATTAACTTAAATTTCTCAATATTTGCAAAAATATTAATAATTTTCTCAACTTTGTGCTTCAACTTATATTTTTGGCAAATTAAGCTCCTATGAAGTATGTTATATCCAGTTAAGAGCAAAGCATTCGAAACTAGTCATGTAATTCATGTGATGGTAATCCATTATTGTGCATTTGGACCCTTGGACTATTCATGGGATGGGATAAAAATTAGTCTTGACTAACTAATATCCCATGTTTGGGGATGCTAGTGGATTGGATAAGGTATATCCTACTTTTTGTCCAATCTTAACCTAATGAGATAAAAGTTATCTATTCTCATCCATGGGACAACTCCGAATGGGATGTTTTTTTTTTTGGTCAAATTTAAAGTAAAATCCCTCTCTTGCCCCTTATTCATCCTTTTATTGTGATTGATCTCCCAAGCTCTCTCATTTCACCAATTTTCACATATCGGTGCCACTCTGACATTTAGGTTTGCTTTATCAATGGTCTAGGAGATCTCGGATCTACCTTCTTCTTTCTTGTTTCTAGTTTCTTTGTTAAGTACAAAACTCATATTATTCCCTTTTTCTCACTTACAATGATTCTTGTGTATTTCCATAATTTTTGGCACTAAGCTATTCCTTCTCGGTAAGCCCTTAATCCTTATCTATGTTTTCTATAGATTTGATTTTGTTCTATTCTTGATTTTGATCTGTTTATTTTTCTTTGGTTTTGATTATCCTATGGGATTTTGGCTTGATTTTCCATCTTTCTTACTTGCTTGTATCAATCAAAGCAATGTTAGGGAACATCTCTTCATTCTAATGTCAGTTGGAGTTGTCTTTTTGTTTTGATAGCTTCTTGTTGGCTGGAAATTGATGGGTTATTGGTAGATTTGAATTTTAGCTCTCTTTTTCTTTGAGAAAATTTATGGGCTCTAATTTGTCTTTATAATTTAGGTTTTTGATTATTTACTAATTGAATAATGTATAGTTGGAATGCCAATTTCATTTGAGCTAATTGGTCCTCTTGATGTGGCAATAGCAACTATTGTTCTTTTATCTTTTTTATTTAATTAATGGTTCTACAACATTAGAAAATCATTTCTTTTTTACAAAATTCTTTCTTCATCTTGAATTTTGAATTAGGGCAATCACAACCTCTGCATTAATGGAAGTTACTATTACATTTGCTATGTTCTAAAATGCTAAAAGGTTCATATTCATTTTTCGGATTTCATCCTCTCATGCACTTATGCTTGTTGCAGTCATAAAGCATGACTTACATGTGTGATGTGTTAGGATTTTATAATTTGAATTATTGAGTTATTGTCACCAAATCAATTATGTAGTGTGACATTGGGATAAGCACAAGTGTTTCATTTTTTTCATTTTTGTCTATGGATTAAATGATTAAGAGACAAAAACCTTTGATTAAATGATTAGGATTGGTCAACAGTTTTGGAGCCAAGAACTAGTGCTTGACCATTTCATTATTTATATGACGTTTATTTATGACATTTATTTATATTATATATGTTTTCACTATAGAAATGGATAACAAAATGATACCTATTCTTGTTCAAGTGCTTGTGGCTATTTTAACTATGGAACAATTGTACTTGCAATGGATTGGAGTAGTAGTTCCATCTTTTGTAATGCTTTGTGATGTTGCAAGACATTACATCGAAAATGATAGTGACAATGATTGTTCTACAAACGAATTTTTAAATTCTCACTCGACGATGCAATATCTAGGTAAATGGGTTCATTGTGATGACTTAACCTATGTAAAGCAACTTAGAATGAATATGGCTACATTTAATAAACTTTGTGATCTTTTTTGCACTAAGGGTAAGCTAAAGAATAGTGGTTTAGTTTTAGTTGAGGAACAAGTTGTTATGTTTCTATACATTTTAGGACATGATAAATAGAATCGAGTTATTAAACTTGACTTTATCCACTTAGGAGAAATTATTAATAAGCACTTTAATAAAGTTTTGAATACTAGTATAAGGTGCAATGAGTTCTTAAATTTGGTATCAGAATAAGTTCTAGAAGGAGGTGTTCATAGAAAATAGAAATGGTTTAAGATATATTTAGTTTGTTCAAATAATTTAATAATTAACTTATTTCACATTATCAATAGAGAAATGAAATTTATAATGTTCTTCTTTTTTTTTTTTTCCCTTTAGGATCTTAGAATTGTTTCGAGGCATTAGATGGAATACATACTAAAGTAAGAGTTCCATCAATTGATAAGTTGAGATGTTGAAATTGAAAGGAGACATAACAACAAATGTATTAAGTGGGTGTTCAAGAAACTTACAGTTTGTTTTGTGTTGCCTAGATGAAAAGGGTTTGCATTAGTTTCTAGGGTTTTGTGTGATGCAATTACAAAAGAGTTCCTATTGGTAAGAATATAACATTAGAACAAATTTCTTTAAATAAATTGATTATTTTTCATTATTTTTATTGAAAAATCAGTTTATGTTGATATAGGATACTATTATCTTGTTGATGATAGCTATACAAATGGGTTGGGATTTGTTGCACTATATAGAGGTAGAAGGTACCATTTGAGTGAATGGAGACAAGGTTTCACACCTTCAAATCCTCAAGAGTTGTTTAAGTTGTGACATGCCAAAGCAAAGAATTCAATTGAGAGGGCATTTAGGTTGCTTAAGATCCATTAGGCAATTCTTAAACATCCGTCATTTTATCCTATTAAAACTCAAACTCGGAAAATCCTTGTTTGTTGTCTTTTACACAACTTGATTAGGAGAGAAATGCCTTATAATCCTTTTGAACACTTTTTGGACCATGTTGAACCAAGTGTCGAGAAGGAGTCAACAAAAAATATTGCTTCTATTGAATTGACCGATGAATAGAATACTTGGGGAGACAACTTGACTCAGGAGATGTATGATGAATGGATGAAAAATAGGCATCATATCTAGTGTGTAGTGTTCTTGCTAGACTTTAGATTTGTAATGACTTTGATTTTAATTAATTTTTATGTTTAATTGGTGTTAGCAATTATGTTTATACTTTTGTAATTGTTGATGCAAACATTTATGTATTCTTTTATTTTATAATGAAACTTTCATTAATTATCTAACATTATTTTTAGTTAAATACAATTCTAGTTGTCAATATAATAATTTTTTGGCCCTTAGTTATATTGGGATGTTGAGATTTGTATTAGAGCTTTACCCTTCCCTACTTTTTGCATATGATTATGATGGGTATAATTCTATGGTTTTCATTAGATTCTTAATGGGGTTGCTATTTATCATTACCTCCAATACCGATAGCTGTATAAACTTATATTTATTGATATCACTTATATTCTTATCAAAATAATAGATCTTGGGCAAACCATGCAAATTAACCCCTCAATTTTGTGAGTGATGGCAGATTTTCCCCTCAACCGAATTCACGCACAAACTCACCCTCAAACTGATTGTTAGTGGCAAAAAAGCCCTTCTCTAATGGATTGTGTAACGATTCATCTAGAACTACTGATAGGCTGATTTGTCTAGGCTCCACTTATGAGCTGGGATTTTTTGTTGACTTCCTCACCTGGCATTTTTTCTTCAAATTCTTAATTTTTAAATAGAAATTCCTCACTATAGGAATAAAGGTCACTAATAAGAGTGAAACCAAACTAAACTTAGTACTAATTTGATGCCCAAACCAACCAAATGATATTTAAAGAAGAAATTAACATTTTTTTAAGTGGCAAAGAAAAGAATTTCATTAAAGAGACAAAAGAGTACCTCAACACATTACATCTTTATTTATTTAGAGATTTAAAATCATCTGTGCACCTAAACCTAACACATTCCTACTTAGGCAATTCATCAAACAATTAGTGGGCATAACTAAAAGACATTTCTAATTTCCAATCCTTGACTCATCAAAACCTAAAAATTTGACACAAATCTTCAACCAATACAAATGAGAGCATTTATCAACAAAATTATTTACTAATCTCTCCAAACTAGTAAAGAATATGAAATTTATGTACCTTAACTTGAAACCATCATCATTTGCATCTCCATCCCTACAAACTATTTAGTACAGGCTTGGTTCTAATTAATTCTTCCTTTGATTTGTTGGTTTGTTGCTTTTTAGATTGATAGCACCAAGCTCCGTTGCTCCTTGTTTGAAAATTATTCCAAAATCTGCCTTTGTTTTATATTTTATCTCATCCCACATACTCTTTAAGGCAAATCCAAGCTTTTATCAACAATTAAAAGGCGAAACCAATTCACCCAATAAATTTAGACACTAAAAATTAGGTTAAATTTTAGAACAATATAACCATATGGATTTGCTAATGAAATTGTAGAATCAGTGAAAACATAAACCTTGTTTTTCCATTTTGGTGGTTACCCATTATCAAAACGCTCATTGGATATGCTAAGATGAATTTTTTTTTTTTTTTGGTTTCACTATTGTCTATGAAGAACATTAGAAAGTAATAAACAAAACCACTATGAACTCACTTCTCCCAATCCTCTATTCAAAAAATCAAGAATTAGATCTCCAAGTCCCATGACTAGCTCTAAGACACCTTCACGCAAGACATCTTCACACGGTTGTAACTT